ATGTATAAATTCATATGTAATTGAATTAAAATCACTTACATGTGATAAAATTAAATTGAACTGAACTGAATTAAAATGATCTGAAATAAATTTGTGTTGAAATGAATTTAAGTGAACTGAATTAAAGTGGTTTGAGCTAAACTTGATAAATGAAATAAATTAAACTTCACCACAAGTAAACAAACTGAAATGAATAGTATGATAATAAATTAGTTCAATTTGATTGGATTCCATAAACTTCAACTGAGCTGAACTAAACAAACTTGAATTAAATTGACTTTTAAAAATAGACAAAACAAATATCTGGTTGTTAATCTACCTTAACAAAGCTGATCAAATGGTAAAGCAAATGGGGTTAGCTTTGAATCCATGTATTAACTATTACAGTATTTATGCTTTCATTTGGTTAATTTTTAAAACATTAATAGCTGTCCTGTAAAGGATCCTGGTATGACACTAATCACACTCTGGGGTCACAGATTGCAGAGTGAGTCACTGGGCTCTGGTCCACGATTAGCTTCCCTAGTCTTCCAATCTGGCACGCTCTGCCATTCAAATAAACCCTGTTAGGTGCAGTGATCACAGCATAGACACAAAATGGACTGCACTGAAATTCTTCTGGATTTGTGTGGCAACCATGTTCTAAAGAGCTTTAAAAGCATGGCATTGCTCCTGGTAATAACAAAGGAATGTGAGACTGTGGCTGCTGGATAGTATCACTGGTGTTTCTTTGCTTCATGACAGCTGGCAACTGATGCCTCCGGTAGTTGCCGTTTCATTTCTCTTCTCTATCTGCAAATGTCTCTCTACATCGCTTACATTTTTTTTTGTTTTTTGCTCACATCCCCGACCATCTGTTGGGGCTTTTTGGGATACTCTACCAGTCCTTTTCTTTGCTGCCCTGCGGCGTCAAACAACAGCTTCACATAATCCACCAGACACCCCAAGAGTGCACTACCAGTATGCACATCCAGACAAGAAAACAGTATTTTGGGGCTTTAGAAGTGTTTAAAGATCTTACATCCCTTTCACACTTTTTTTTTTTTTTTTAGGAAACTGTATTTTTTATAATATTTATTTTGGGATTTTTTTTTGTTTGTTTGTGTGTTTTGTTTTTCTTTTTTTACACCATTATTTTAGATAAGGCATCAGAAATGCTTTAGAAAATTGAATGACATGGAAACCAAATCTGGGTAAAAAAAAAAAAACATATTAAGGCATTTGCTGATTAAATGCTTGAAGCTTAAATGCTTAACTGAAGCATTAAAGCACAAAGCAATCAACATAATGTGTTAGTTTAAACTGGAACACTGTGCCTATTATACCTATCTGAGTTGGAGCCATGTTTATTATAAAACTGAACTAGTCAGATCATTAAATTCACAACATCCAACAAGTTCTTTCCTAGCTCAAACTGGGAGCCCATCAATTTTATCTGTTTTGAACAAGCAGAGGAATGCAAAGAAGGCATAATGAATCAGGGGTTTGGTGGTTTAATGATGCTGCAGAGAGTCCAAAGTCTGTCAGTGACAAGATGGGACAAACATAATTATTCTACTGCGGAATCATCATTTTAAAACTATTTTCTGTCTCGCTTGCTTATCCTTTTATCTTGTGTAGAGTGAAATTAATCCTCCCTAAATTAATCTGGCGATCTCATCCTTTCATGTAAAATCCTTTCTGTTAGACTTTATTTTACACCCTATATACAAACAGAGGCAGTTCCGAAAACCGAACCGAATCCTAACTTTGAAACTTGGAACAAATTTTGGTGTCATCATCAGCAATATTATCTACTTTGCAGAACACAAAGTCGCAGCAATTCTAATTGATGCACCGTTAAAGGACGATTATTTTCTGATCATTTCTGTTTCGCTATCATCTAAAGCTAAAAAAAAAATCATATACTACATCTTTAAACATGAACACAGTTGTTTCTCAATAGATTTTACAGTATTTTCTTCAAAAAATGTCTTCTGGATGGCTTATTCAATTATTCAAATTTTGGATAAAAAAATTCCAAATATGTAACACAATTTTTGGAAGAAAAAAAAACATTTTTTTTCTTTTTCTTTTTTTTGTATATTTCAAGAGAACAGAACATAAACTAATATATTGAAATTGGCATTTTGGATGTAAAGCCTACAACTTTTTGCTTTTTATTAACTAAATCTAAAATAACAAAGGCATATTATAGCTATATGATGATGTTAAGTTCAGAGTAGTTGATTTTACATTACTAATTATAGAAATAATTAAGAGGCATAATCAAATGATTGATGTTGAACTCAGAGAAAAATAAACTGATAACATTTTGTATTTTTCCTTTTTTTGAATTTGCAGCAAAAAAAATAAAATTCCTGAAAACACACACACACACAAACACAAAAGAAATTTTCAGCAAAACATAGAATTAAAAAAACTCAAAAATGAGACAAACACATCAAAACCTGTAAAAGAAAAACACTGCAAAGGAGTAATCACAGAAGATACCGAGATGCAAATTCTAAATGTGCAACAAACACAAAACCTGATGCAAACACATACTGTAAATTATGCTAATACACTACAAAAGATTAAAGCATATGCAAAAGGAAAAGTCCTGCAGGTTAAGAGAAGCTGGGAAATAGCATCTCATAACAAAAGTGTTTCAGACCACATCGGGGAGGTGGTCACCATCTAATTTTGTGCCAAAAACTTAGTAAAGGCATTAGGGTTGGGAATTGAAAAGATTTTCACGATTCCGATTCCCTTTTCGATTCTATGAAACGATTCGATTCTTTATCGATTCTTTTTTCGATTCCAATTTGGGGAAAAAAGGAGAACAAACAGTTTGATTATCAGCATCAACTTTGTTTACTTAACTATTGCACAATCTTACAAAATCAACAAGATCAAGATGTCCACAGGAAATGTGAAACTGGAGTAACATCCGTGTTTAAATGAAAAATGAATACAAGAAACAAACTTATTAACCAAAAATGTCTGATAACAAATGATGGGATAATAACCTATTTTAAATAACAAAAAATACTAATTATAAAACAGTAGTAGGGAAAATGAACAGTTATTTTGCAGAAAGATGAGCATATCTGCTTTTTCTGGAAGGATACAGGATCTTTCAGGGCTTAAGGTGTCTCCAGCCGTGGAAAATACCCTCTCAGATGGGGTGGAGGAAGCCTGCACACAGGGGTAGTTTTCAGCCAGTCCAGATAGCAAGGGCAGCGTATCTTGCTTCTTCCACCACCACAGTGTGGCGCTATCCCTGCAGGGGATGGAGGGCAAGCTTTTACAGAGCTGTATTTCCTGATCTACCCTCTGGGCTAAGGAAAGACGGGGCTTTGATTCACAAAGTGACCGCAGCTCGTTGTCTTCCTCCTCGAATAGTTCTTCCAACTTGCGTAACTTACGTAAAAAACGTGACGTAAGTCGTGCTCCCCAGAGCCGGCGCTTTAGGCTCTGGTGCTGCGGGAATCGAAAAAAGAATCGTTCAGCGAGCTGCCAAATGATGCCATGGAATCGGAAAATACGGAACCGGTTCTGAACAGGAACCGGTTTTCGATTCCCATCCCTAAAAGGCATGAACTGGATGCTCAGAGATGAAATGTAAAAAAAAAAAATTATTGGAAAACTTCTTCCCTCTTTCTTCTAAATATCCACCTGAAAGCATTTCTTTTTATCATTCAAAAGTGGATCTTTTCTACGGACACTATAGTAGCATCTATTGCCTGGTACCATATAAGTCCATTATTGTGTATAGTGGTTTGGAGCAGTTCTAGTTTGCATTGAAATCTGTGTTTGCAGCTGCTTTGCTGCTCTCTTTTTACTGTGACTGCAGCCTGTTTAATTTGCAAGTGTTATGTGTGTTAGTCTTTATTTATTTGCTAGTCTAGTTTAATAGTTTGCCAACTTTTTTTTAAATTTGCTGTGAATTCATGCATTTGCGTTTTTGCACCCCTTGGTAACCATATTTTACCTCAGTCACCTCTGTTCCTAACATTTATTTTTGTTTCATGCTACAAGGAAGGTTGAAATTAAGAAATTATTTTTGTTGTACAATTAAAGCAAATCTGAACAAAGAAAGTAGATATTTGTTTTTATTTAAAAGTGAAATATATTTATGTAACCTAACATGACATAACATAATGGGTAATGACCCAGAGGAAAACTTTTTTGCTCAGGATAGTCTTTTCTTGATCTCTCAAGACAGTACGGAGATCTCAATTGAATATCTTTATGAGATTTCTTCAATCTGAATTGTGTATCTTTTTGAGATCACCTCAATCTGAATTATTGCTCCTAAACCCCCCCCTTAGGAGCAAAATTGAGATATTGTGAGAATGACTTTTTGAGACTTGTAGGAGAAATGATAGTCATAGATAAGATCTCATCATTGCATCTTTTTTATTTCATTCATGTCTTGCTTATTGCTCCTAAAAAGCCGGTTGGAGCACTAAAGAGTTAAAATAATCTCAATTGCCTGTCTTCTTGAGATCACCTCAATCTGAATTATTGCTCCTAAATCACACCTTGGAGAAAAACAGATCATAGGAGATCTCAGGATTCCATCTTTATGATCTCATTCATGTCTTACTTATTGCTCCTAAAAAGCCAGGAGGAGCACTAAAGAGTTGTAAGACGGAGCTCAATTGCTTCTCTTCTTGAGATCACCTCAATCTGAATTATTGCTCCTAAACCCCTCCCCTTAGGAGAAAAACTGAGATAATGTCAGAATGACTTTGAGACTAAGGTAAGAGAAAATTGAGATTAAAATGGAAGAAATAAGAAACAACTGTGAATGAACTTTAGCCTCATTTATTTTGCATTAATTCAACACGCATACCAGTGTGCATACCATTTTACAAGAGTGAACCAGGCCATACATTGTAAAAGTGACAGCAATCACATTATCCCAATTGAGAACCACTGGTGTAACAACATGTCAATAAACGGTGAAAAAATTCACAACTGCTGAACAAGAGGTGAACAAGGGGCTGTTGTAAACATTATGCCTGTAAAGCCAGTCACTGTACTGACCTGTGACGGCATTTATTTATGAGGGCCTTTTTAAGCTTGGCCTCCTCTACTGGTTTCCAGTTCTCCATCGTTGCGCACCGCCTCACATAGGCTGCAAAAAAAAACCCGGAGAAAAGAGACTTAAATTAGTTTGATATTTTCCTCGCATATTTTAATACATTATTATGTTCATTCAACTATCTGTAAAATGACATTTCTATATAGCAATGGTTCCATCTAAGTGTATAATGTTTTTGATTATTAACATAAGAGGAAATAATGACTAGTGGCAAAGAAAACATTTAATATTAGGAATATTAAATGATGAAATAAATTGATTTTAAAAGATATGGCAAAGAAACACTCAGCTATGCATGACACAAGTACAGGTAATTTTTGATCCATCTTGTGCATTAGAATGGGTTTGCAGTGCCAGTGTATCAAAGGGTTAAAATAAAGGACTGTTTATATCCATCTTAGCCTTCCTGTGCATCTCTCAACACACCAGGAGCTACATTCAGTATCATTCAATTTCTTATTTGACTTTTACGGTGGCCGACAAGGGTCAAACGGACAGCAACGGCCCAATACGTCTCAGTTTGAGAAAACAGCTTCAAGTACAGAAACGATGCAAAATCACAAAATCAAACAAGTCTAAACGAGGTACAAAACGAGGAACGTGTTGCAAATGAAAACACGCATCATCAAAAATGCATCATCATCAAACGCACTGCAAATGGAGAAACGATCTGTAAACCGAGAAAAGATCTGCAAACGAAAAACGCTGCATGCTCCAAACCTGCAGGGGGAGCCCTCAGCGTAACAGCTCAATAGAGAGACACACGGGATGGAGAGAGACAGAACAGCTGACTAAATCACAACAGTGTATGAAAATACAGCAGGAACGGTAATGTGACTTTTACTTGATTTTATATCTATATATGTATATACATGTTTGCATGTAGATTAGCCTGCTTGATATAAAACACCTGTTTTAATAATACATTAAAAAGCCCTCTTATCACAGTCTCCCATACCTATATCAAGCAGGCTAATCTACATGGAAACATATATAAACATATATATAAAATCAAGTAAAAGTCATATTACCGTTCCTGCTGTACAGTGGAAACCGCTTATAGTGATCACGTTGGTCTGGAGTCAATATGATCACAATAAGCAGTTGATTACTATAACTGAATTTTATTGTTTCACTTCATTTTTTATGCATAACATTATCTAAATGCCATTTGTATTGTTTTTCAATGAGAAAAATGGAAACAGACAGCTTCAGCATTGACTGAATTTTATTCTGATTTTAAACTCAGTCGTTTCAAATGCTTCTTTTGAGAAGCATCATGCAAATTTAATTACTTTTGCCTAACACCAAGTTCACTTCTTTTTCAAAACCATGTAAAAGGTCAAAGTTTTTAAAACCAACATGCATTTGCATTGTTTCTGTACTTGAAGCTGTTTTCTCAAACTGAGACGTATTGGGCCGTTGCTGTCCGTTTGACCCTTGTCGGCCACTGTAGACTTTCATAATGTAATCATATTAAAAATATATTTACTCAAAAAAAAACAACAACAATCAAGTAACTAGTGTACAACAAATCAAGCAGGCAAAATACTAGAAAGTAGCTAGAACATTGCAGTCATTACACCAGAAAAACTACTCACTCAGAATTCCATCAACTTTGCTTTGGTCAAGCAGCTGCTTCCCCTCTGGTATCTTGCCATGTCGTCCGAAAGCCACTGCATTGGTGCACTCCTCTGCGGTGAAGAAGTGTTCATAAAGGAGATGGAAAAGTCGAAGGCTGTCATGGTCACATTGGTGCATTATGGAGGCAAGCTTGAAGGATGACAGGAACAGGCCACTATTGGGAAAGAGCTCCTGAAGAGCCTTCTGTGACGGGTGGATCAAGGCTGCAGGGCTCTCCTGGTACAGAGCAACATTTTTAAGAAATCCTCGAGCCACTCTGATGTCTTCTGGCTCTGAAAAACAAAAAGGATAAAAGAAGTGTTGATGTACAGCTCTTAATGACAGTATACACCCTTGGTTATCAAAAGGTACTATTAACCACAATAGAGTTAACATTATAGACTTACTTATGCTGCAGAGAATGTCCTCCATCCTCTTCTTCTCTTTTTCAAGTTTTCTCAACTCTGGACCACACCTCTGACATGGCTGCCAGGACCTTCTGTCACTCTGTGCTACATCCTCAATGGGTTCTCCATATTCACTTTGAGGGCTTCTGTCAACTATCAGGGTGCTTGCACAAGAAGATGAACTTGTGCTCAGATTTTCATCTGTCTCAGGGCGAGAAGTCTGAACTAGCATCATCTTGGTTGTGGAAGGAATCAGAATATTGGTTGAACTGTGTGCCTGCGACTCACATTGCACTGGCAGAGCGTGGCCTTGGGAAGGAGGCGAAGGCAGAGCGTGGCCTTGGGAAGGAGGCGAAGGCAGAGCGTGGCCTTGGGAAGGAGGCGATGGCAGAGTGTGGCCTTGGGAAGAAGGCGAAGGCAGAGCGTGGCCTTGGAAGAGGCGAAGCGAGCGTGGCCTTGGGAAGGAGGCGAAGGCAGAGCGTGGCCTTGGGAAGGAGGCGAAGGCAGAGCGTGGCCTTGGGAAGAAGGCGAAGGCAGAGCGTGGCCTTGGGAAGGAGGCGAAGGCAGAGCGTGGCCTTGGGAAGGAGGCGAAGGCAGAGCGTGGCCTTGGGAAGGAGGCGATGGCAGAGCGTGGCCTTGGGAAGGAGGCGAAGGCAGAGTGTGGCCTTGGGAAGGAGGCGATGGCAGAGTGTGGCCTTGGGAAGGAGGCGATGGCAGAGCATGGCCTTGGGAAGAAGGCCCCTGGACAGGAGGCGATGGCAAAAAGTGGGCGCTGACATTTGTTGAAGAGTGGACATCAGTCAACTTGGGGGAGGAGTGCTGGCGATAATATACATCTGCAGGGATATTCTTTCTTATGTCCTTTTTGAGTTTTTTTTGCATGCCTGTATTTGGCCCAATATAATTCACAGTGGCGCTGTAAAATCTCCCATCACTCCATCTGGCTAGGACCCTTTCTCCTGGCCTCAAGACATCCAACTGTCCAATGGAGCTGTCATTCGCATCCAGAATGTCACATGTTTTAAAGATTTTGGCAGTGTAGCCATCCTCAAAAGTGACAAATGCAAAGTGACCTAAAATAAACCAAAAACCATGTCACAGTTAACATGTCATATTTCACAACAGTACATTTCAAAAGAACACAAGATATGTCCTATAATATCGATATAAATCCAGCTTTTATATTGAGTTTTCATTTACATAACTTTTTGAAACTTAAAGATTTCAGATTTATTTATGGTTAGCCCTCTGAGATGAGCAGCCAGCTTGTTTCCAATGCACATACTGTACACTGAGAGAAGAAGAGAGGGGAAGAGGAGAGGAAGAGAGGTGTGGAGTGAAGGAGAGGAGAACAGAAGGAGAGAGAAAAAAGATTTAGTGTGTTAAGAGACAGTGGTAAGAGTATACTGTATTACACTATACACGAGTATACTGTAACTATACACTGTGCTACAATTCTCACAGTTACACTCTAGTGCAGGGTTCTTCAACGTTTTCCAGGCCAAGGACCCCCAAACTGATGACAAGATGGAGCGGGGACCCCCTAAATATATATATTGTATGAAATTGTGTTATATCAACCGGTCCTATAGTCACTCTATTACAGATGGAGTAATGTAACTAAAGTAATCCTTCCCTAGGATTATTAAAGTATTTCTGATTCCTGGTTGATGGGACAGGTGTTGTAAATGAAACGGTGTCCAGCTTGAAAGAGCTCCTGTGTGTCGCTGAATGTGTGCATTGATGACTGAAAGACATCTTCTGCCTCCATTTATCTGTTTACTACAGTCTTCAATTCATGTTAATGTGGATTTAAAGACATTTCAATTCAGGAGGGAATATAAAAAGAATCAACCAAGTTTCGCGACCCCCATGCAGTACCTCCGCGGACACCCTAGGGGTCACGGACCCCCTGTTGAAGACCTCTGCTCTAGTGAAACCACAAATGTTCTCTGTGGTGGCTATGATTTGTATTGTTTTTTTAACCTTGTTTGGCATTTGTTGATTCATTAAATACAAGTAGTTAAATGTGCTTGTGTTTGTTATATGATAAACATTTAGTAATGTGCATTTCACAATATGTAGTGTATTAGCCCGGGAACAGTAAATCTAGGGTTAGGGTTAGGGTATTATTTATTTGTTGGTATTATTTATTTGTTGGTATTTGTTGTGGCCATTGCCCCCCCAATAATAATTTTCTGGTGCCGCCGCTGCTTGACAGTGAATTAAGACACATCTTGAGTCTAGCAGCTAAATTTATATTATTATATATTAAATATATATATTAATTGATTGTCAATTTGACCTAAATTATTATTAAAGTAGTTTATACTGTATACAGTTTAGCATGTAGGGGATCTTTAAAAATCTGCTATTCTACTTATACTTTCCTTTAATTACCAATTGATAAGTTAAAAGTAAAAAATAACAGTAAATAAATTAACAATAACTCACCAGCTGTCTCCTCTTCCTCTTCAGTTCCCAGCTGTACATGATCTTTCATTTTGTTGAAGATAACCTCTGTCTTTTTGAGTTGGATCCAGATGTCATTCTGTAAATGGCAGTTTAAAAAGCATGACGTTAGCAATCTAATACTTTCATATATCACATACAAGATAAGAAATCCAAGACAAACCAAACCCTCTAGGCTTCATGGCCAAATGATCGCATCTGGATATTGAACCCAAATATCTCAATATCGATATGACTATGATTTCATGCAAAGTGCAGAGAACAGTGAAAATTACACACACTCAAACACTACATATACATACATTTATACATATATATAGTCAGTCCATATTGGACTTATTAAACTAAACATGTCTTCTTCAGATCATGTTTCTTCAAATAACTAAACTGTCTTTACTCATCAATAAAAGACTCTACTTCTAGATGTCTTGTGCTGTTGAACGTAACCGCTGTGAACCAATCATAAACTGACGTCTTATTGATCTGATTCACCGGCTTTCTTACCGTCACCGCTGTTAATGACCATGGTGAAGTTAGTTTCAGGGTGGTTAGTCAGACATACAGGTGCTGGTCATAAAATTAGAATATCATGAAAAAGTAGATTGATTTCAGTAATTCCATTTAAAAAGTGAAACTTGTATATTATATTCATACATTACATACAAACTCATATATTTCAGATGTTTATTTTGTTTAATTTTGATGATTACAAATGACAACAAATGAAAATCTCAAATTCATCATATCAGAAAATTAGAATATTACTGAAGACCAATAAAAACAAAGGATTTATAGAAATGTTGGCCAACTGAAAAGTAAGAACATGAAAAGTATGAGCATGTACAGCACTCAGTATTTAGTTGGGCCTCCTTTGGCCTGTATTACTGCAGCAATGCGGCGTGGCATGGAGTCGATCAGTCTGTGGCACTGCTCAGGTGTTATGATAGCCCAGGTTGCTCTAATAGTGGCTTTTAGCTCTTCTGAATTGTTGGGTCTGGTGTATTGCATCTTCTTCTTCACAATACCCCATAGATTTTCTATGGGGTTAAGGTCAGGAGAGTTTGCTGGCCAATTAAGAACAGGGATACCATGGTCCTTCAACCAGGTACTGGTAGCTTTGGCACTGTGTGCAGGTGCCAAGTCCTGTTGGAAAATGAAATCTGCATCTCCAAAAAGTTGGTCAGCTGCAGGAAGCATGAAGTGCTCTAAAACTTCCTGGTATGTGGCTGCGTTGACCCTGGACCTCAGAAAACACAATGGACCAACACCAGCAGATGACATGGCACCCCAAACCATCACTGACTGTGGAAACTTTACACTGGACTTCAAGCAACGTGGATGAAGTGCCTCTCTTCTTTTCCTCCAGACTCTGGGACTTTGATTTCCAAAGGAAATGCAAAATTTACTTTCATCAGAGAACATGACTTTGGACCACTCACCAGCAGTCCAGTCCTGTTTCTCTTTAGCCCAGGCAAGACGCTTCTGACGCTGTCTGTGGTTCAAGAGTGGCTTGACACAAGGAATGCGACAGCAGAAACCCATGTCTTTCATACGTCTGTGTGTGGTGGTTCTTGAAGCACTCACTCCAGCTGCAGTCCACTCTTTGTGAATCTCCCCCACATTTTTGAATGGGTTTTGTTTCACAATCCTCTCCAGGGTGCGGTTATCTCTCTTGCTTGTACACTTTTTTCGACCACATCTTTTCCTTCCCTTCGCCTCTCTATTAATGTGCTTGGACACTGAGCTCTGTGAACAGCCAGCCTCTTTAGCGATGACCTTTTGTGTCTTGCCCTCCTTGTGCAAGGTGTCGATGGTCGTCTTTTGGACAACTGTCAAGTCAGCAGTCTTCCCCATGATTGTGTAGCCTATAGAACTAGACTGAAAGACCATTTAAAGGCTTTTGCAGGTGGTTTGAGTTAATTAGCTGATTAGAGTGTGGCACCAGGGGCCATCAATTTTGAACCTTTTCACAATATTCTAATTTTCTGATATGATGAATTTGAGATTTTCATTTGTTGTCATTTGTAATCATCAAAATTAAACAAAATAAACATCTGAAATATATGAGTTTGTATGTAATGTATGAATATAATATACAAGTTTCACTTTTTAAATGGAATTACTGAAATCAATCTACTTTTTCATGATATTCTAATTTTATGACCAGCACCTGTACTGTAGTCGCGTACAGTAGATTCAGCAGTATCGAATATCCAACCTGAAACTAACTTCACCATGGTCACAAGCTTTTATACAGAACAGAGAAATGTATATTTTTCTCAGTGTGAAAAATGAAATACATGGCGTGGCGGGAGTGCGTGACAAAAAGACAGAAATCTGGTGACGCAGCAGAGTCTCTACTTTCACATGACACCTTGTTTGTGTGGTTAGCATCATTTTGGTATGCTACATGTTAGCTTACTAGCTTCCTATGTCTATGCAGCACGCATCTCACGCAGCCCTTTGTACAGTGGGCGCTCTTACTTAAAAGGTTAATTTATATGGACATTTTCACAAACACAACATTGATACCAACTTCCAAGTGTGCTAAAAATCAAAGGAAACCATGCTACTTGTAATGTTAGTAGCTAGCTTGATTCGAGACTGCATGGTCGTTCAAAATTCACCGCCCAAAATTAAAATAAATTGACTACTGATATCCGTGCATTTTTATCAAGCATATCAATGTATAATGCTGTCGACGGTTACAAAACTAACTTATATGTAAGAAGTTCAAAACTTACCTTCACTCCAGACAACTTCCACTGCACAATGTCAACAGGTGCCACTTCAGAGACTGCAGACCTAATTGGTCC